CCCCAAAACCCCAAAACCCCAAAACCCCTAGGGTAAAATAAATGTGAATTTTAGAGTTAATTTGATCACTTAGAATTAAACTTATATAAATAGCAGATCAGTATCAGTTATTCAAATCATCTTATTTTTCCCCTCTGTTAATGGAGGTAAATTATTAAAATTCACATTCTTAAGTGCTGGTGTTTGTGAAATATTAGCTTTTTTAGCAACCAGTGGACCATCTCTAGGTGAAGTTAAATTACTCTGACCAACTGAAGTAGTTATTTTTTACTATGCCAAATTTGCTGCATCTCTTGAAAACTTAGCAGACATTTTCTACTTTTAGAAGTAATTTTGGCCTGTTCCACTCATTGAAGAAGTAGTACCACCATTGCCAGCATAAATAGTTCTTGATGCTTAGTCAGGCTATTCAAGATCATCAGTAATGCTTTCATAGATACTACTCTGTCTTAAAGTGTCCTTGTGACTAGTGTTTGTTTGTCTATCAACTGAATCGTTATTCTTTTTGTTTACATACTTGCTAATGTTGCTTTTCCTACCAGAATTTGTGACCATATTTATGCTTCCTATTACTCCATTGCCTCCACTAAATCTATTAGGAGAGTATAAGTCTTCTCTCAAATCATAATCAATCACACTAAGTGGGGATTTGTATGCGGTTATTGCTGCTCCTCCTGGTTATCTGGAATTTGAAGTCATATAGTCAAAAGTTGCTTGAGCTATTTCCTAAATTGATGGTGCTAAATTTGAATGATCAAGGGAGGATGTCTGCTTTCTCTAATGAATACCCATAAAATACAAATAGGTATCATCAAATAGCTTCTTTGTAGTAAGGCCATGCTCTGTAAAAGGCTATTGTGAAATAATGATTTTGTTGCATTAACCTAATAGGAACTTTCTAAACATCAAAATCTAAGGCCTTGTGAATTCAATATCTAGAAGAATATTTAAAATCGAAATATATTACTTCTAAAAATAACTGGAGACGGAGCATAAGCCAAACAGGCTAACTTAAAAGTTGAAATCAATGATGATCCTTAGCCTGAGCAAGATATGCATTTTGGATCTAGAGCCATTACATTTTTCTTTTGAACTGTACTTGTATAGTTCTTCTCATTCCCATCTGAAAGGAATTTAGTTGGGCCATTATAGAGTAATGAGTCATCGATATTATTGCTTAATAGAATACTATGAGATGTATTTTATCTTTCATTGCCTACTCCATTAACATTAGAAGTACTTCTTTTTTTTGAGTTTTGCTATGGCATTGGAAACCCTAAATTCTGTTGAGTGTTTTGTCCTTCATTAATATGATTGAAGTTATTACTCTAGAAGGAATGCTTGTTTTTCTAAACATTATCCTAAGTATTATCTCTATAGCCTAGAAGTGCAATCGAACTTCTGTCACTCTCATCCTGCTCCTCGGTACATACTTACATCTATATTACCTCAAGAAACAGCACAACCAATGTTGAGAGATTACTAATTGCTTGCTTATTGCCAGCCAGTTATGAGGCACACCCATCAATTTTAGATGTAAGTGAGTCTAGAAGAACATTCTAATCAGATTTATCTCTCTTCCTAGCTCTTAAGAATTACTCTAACTCGATTTGAATTTGAGATATCTATTGCTGCAGTTGATTTTCGACGGAGTAAAGATTTTTCTTGATATTTTCCTGTTCAATGTAGTTTTGAGTACTGTTGTTACTCATTTGATAAGTTATTTTTTTCATTTGGATTTCAAGATCTTCTTTGATTTTATTCATTTCTTGTTAAAATTCTTCAAGTCTCTCGTTAGATATTGCATTATGCATACCATTATATTATTCTTCTGGATAGCTGCTTAGATTATCGTCTTCATCAGTTCTCTCAATGACTGAGTCATGAGCCACATTGATAGCCTATGACTATAAGTCCTGCTGTGAGCCTTGAATTCCATTACTCAAATTTCCTGGATGCAGTGTGTTTGACGAGGACTAATTTGAGTTCTAAACTAGAGAATTGAAGTCTTATGACCCAACAATCATCTAACTATCGATTTTCTTCGGCGATCTAGATTCACTATCTTTTCTAACTTTCCTATTTTTGTTACTTGAATCCCCACTCTTCATCCCTAGTCCTGAAGGTTAATTCTATCTTATTGATTTGTTTGATCTTTATGAACTAAGATTTTGACGAGCAGATGGCTTCTAGGCAGATCTATCTATTCTACTTCTATCCCTGATACTTTTAACTTCTTAGGTTCCAAAATAATCCTCATCATCCTTTTCATCTTCTATTATCTATTGAGTTTTTAAAGCTCCCCCCCATATTTTCTTCTCGCTACCTCCATCAGTCACTCTTCTTGAAAGTGAGTTGCTTCCAACAGCAGAAAACATACCACCACTTTTATTTTTATTTCCAGAATCTTGCTTTTATAATCCTAGCTATTTCCTTTACAGCACTGAAACATAGCCAGTTTCATTAGGGGCTACTTCATTGAGTTTAGTTTCAGAGGCTCGATCTGGCTTCTTATTATCCTTTACCAAGAACACTGGCTTTTTTATTCCAATAACTGTTTCCTGCACCTATTAGTTGATCTTCTCTATCTCCTTTTGCAATTGATGCTTTCCATTATCCTTTAGAATGGTGACGTTGAATTCTTGATACTTATTTTTATCAAAATCATAGAGTTTCTTCTTGGTGTCGTTATCACAAACTGCATTCATTGTCTCTGATATCATTTGCTGTGTCCTAATTGGCAAATACTTTTCCACGAAATTATGCAGTCCCAAGTTTTAATTAATCTGATCTTCAAGTTAAATGATCATTCTGTCAAATCTCTTTTCAACCTCTTCCATCTCTTTTTTGTAGATGACTTGTGTTACGAAATTTGATTTAGTGTCGGTCAGTTCGCTCTACAAATCCTAAGTTCTCTAAACCTAGGCATAGCACATTGAGTCAAGTTTAGTGAGTAGGTTTCCATGATGCTTTACTAACGTCTCTATTCTGGAAATGTCCATTCCCATATCGATTATGTTTTTGCTGAAGCGATCAAGCTAATCAGTAAAATCCTGCTGCAATCCTGCTATCGACTCTATATTTTTCTCCTTATAACCGATGAAAGTCTGATTAAATATCTGCACCTCACTGTGAATTCTCTCTACATAACTATTCTAAAAGCATATAAGAATATAATAATATTACAAGAGTCTGCCATTGCTGATTTTGATTCTTTATCTCAAAGTGAATATTGTCACTTTGAATTTGCAGTCTATCGAACTCATTATCAACCCTATTTTGCTCTACTTTGATATCAGTTTCCTATAAATTAATATGGAAAGTTGAATTTACCAGTCTAGCAAGGTTTCTAAATATATCCTCAAAAACATTTGTCTTGTTATCAGTTTTGATTACAGCGAATTCCAAATCCTCAATCTTTCTCTTCTAAGCATCTTGATCGTTTCTTATCTTGAATAATTTATCTCTGTCCTCGTTGACCTTTCTGACTGTGGGTTCTATCATTTCATGAATCATTTTGCGCATTCTAGTCTCGAAATCGAACCAGTCAATTTCATAGTTCTGACCTACAAGAAGAATTTAAGATATTCAGTTCATCGATAGTTGAAGGTAGATAATTTACCTGCATATGATGAGTCTTTGTTCATTTTATTTTAATTGAATTTATTAAAACAGCTTCAATAATTTAAAATATGAATTCTTCAAATTTAAACAATAATCTCGAAATACCTCAAATTAATGTAGCTGAGGAACCACCTAGGAAAGTGATTGACCTAAAGGCTATTAGAGAACAACAGAGGCTTTTATTAGAAAGACTAAGAACTTTCAAAGTAAGAAAAGTGATCTATTGGGACTATAATCCTACTGCTTCCATAGAAAATGGAAACTCAATCCCCTAGCCATTGATATTGTCACTCAAAAGCTTGAAACAGAGAGTTAAATAATTCATGTCTGGAATCAATAGCTTTTCAATAGCTCTGAGTGGTAAATTACATATTTTCCAATAATTTATAAAGAGGACGGTGAAGTATTTCAATGGGGATGCCTTGATCATGAAACTTATCACGTTGGAATGATAAAAATGGATTTTAACTCTTAATGGCTTACCAAAGAACCTGAAATTGTGCCTTTCAAGTCAAAGATTATGAAAATCGCATTGACCTATTCTTCAATTTTAGCAATAGATTGTAAGATTTCAAAGATATTAATTTGGCATTTAGAGGAGTAAACTTTATGGAGTTGGGGTCAAGATCCAATGAGAAAAGGGGTGCTCGGCTTTGGAGAGTATCAACTTAATATTTAAAATCCTTAGATCCTTTTACAACATTAAACAGACATTTAAACAACACTTTACTCTTGCAACTCTATTTAAGATGATAAAAATGTCTCATTCGTTTGGGGAACAAATTAATTTCAAACTATTTCAACCTTTGATGAGACTATCTTTGAGCCTGTTGAATTAAAGAATTCCTAGGAAAAATTGATTCTCTTTGATAATTTAATATGCCTTATAAGCCCCGATGGTGAACTCAAACTGAAAGGACATTTCAGGAAATAGCACAACTTACATCGATCATTTTCTGAAAAATCAATAGTCAAATAAAGTGTTTACCTGTCTAATGATAGTTTCAGAAGCCAAATATAAGATGCTGTGGACATTAACTTAAAAATAGATTAGGATATTATTAATGTGCATTATTCATCATCTATGGCTTTAATTTAAACGAAAAATTCCCAGTTATTCTACTTACTTAATGAAAAATTTGATCTTTATGAAATAGATATACCATTCTAATATGAGATACTGGATATTCAATACACTTACTTAACAATATGGATTTTAATTCAAGGAAAATTCGATTAGCAAAAGTACCTTATTGAGACATTTTAGAAAAAGCTTCAGTTCATCAAGGTAGGAGAGGATTTCAATTAAGGTATCCAAAACTATTCTAATACAAAAAATATGAATGGATAAGTCTCGTTTATTTTTGAGGAAGTAGTTGACATTGAAAAGATAAACAAGGAGTATGAAGATTTGAAAAAGAAAATAAATAAAAAGCTAGGCAATGAAAATCAAAATCAGAGCTAGAATATCTTATAGGTCCATAACACATCTTAATATTCAGTTGATTAATAGTCTGATAGATGCTAATTGGAATTAAACTTTGATTATGATACCAAGAAGATTGGAGATATGGTTGAATTAGATATAGAAATGAAGCATCTTAGAAATATAGCTCCAATGCAGTTCAAATGGAATTAAGGTGAGAACACTTAGCAAAACCTAAGATACTAGCTGGAGCAACTAAATAGATCTCATAACTAGAGCAAAACTATGCTAGATTAGAGTACATAAGCAAATATTCCATATGATATTACTATAGAGGATCTTTCGTAGGTAAAATCATTGTCCTCGTTAAGAGGCTCCAGACTCGCATTGTAGGATATAACAGCAAAAACCAATAATTGCTAATAGCTTTTATCTGAGAGAGATATTTTTACTAATCCATTTAAAGGCTCTTAATGTAGTTATGTAAATTATCAAACGATAGAGAAATCTTTAACTCCTAAAACACCCAAGAAATAAGTCAATTATAAAGATGAAAATATCTAGGTGAAGGAATATATGATAGATCCTAAGCTTATAAAAATTACGAGCATCTTAGAAAAAAATAGTAAAAAAGAAATTTTCTAGCTTTACAAAGAGTATAAGAAATTTGAATTATTGTAAAAGCGTAAGTAAATGATTATAAAAATCTTTTATGAATAATAAAGAAAATTGAGAATAAAGAAAATGCATGATTATTTAAGATTTTGGAAGCGAACAATAAGGATTTCTAGACTATTTGAAATTATTAAAAACGACAGCTTAAAATAGGCTTTGTATAGATTTAAGATATTTGTGGATGAATAGAGGGTAATTTAAGCGCTAGAAAAACTTGATAATTTCCACAATTATCAAATAAAAACAGCATTCTTTGAATCTATCAAAGATTTGTCTAATTAAAGTATAGCAAAGTGAAGGTCTAGGCTATACAGGTCTAATTTGAATTTACCACTTAATAAGAGTTTAAATTCAAGCAATCAATCAATAGAAATTGATACTACAATGATATCTAATATTGTAAAAAATATAACTTAAAATAATAGTATTAATAATGCAAATCAGTCAATGATTAATTTTGATGAGTCTGATATAATAAGCAATTAAAATTAATCTAAAAATACGAGTATTAGCATACCATAGTTAGATTTGCTAAAATTAAACCTCTAAAAAAAGAATTTAGGAAATATGAATGGAATTTCAACTGATAATAAGTAGTTTGAAGAAATGCTTTCATAGGATTTAAAAAAGCTAAATAGAAAACTTAATTCTAGTCAACATCAATATCAAAGAAAGGACTCAAAAATATCTTCTTATCTGTAATAAAAATATCCATAAGCCTTTGACTAAATGAGTCATGCTTAAAACACAGCAGATAGATTCCGCTATTAGTACCAAAAACTCCTTTACAATATGACTTCAAAGTAGTTTGTAGATATTACCTATAAGACTAACTTTATAAAAGAAAACATAAAAAATCCTCAATCAAACAAAAGGACCGGCAGTAAAAGTAATTGTACTCAATAAAACAATCTTAATAAAAATGCTGAGCTAAATAGGTCACTTCTATCTCATTATGATAAAGTTGATTAATAGCATTTAAATATCACATTTTAGAGAGGTAATATAAAAAGTAGTCCACCAAGGTCAAGGGATAGTTATTAATCGAAAAATAAATGTAAATAGATAGATGGAAAAATGAAAAGATTATTGGAAATAGTTAATAGAAATCATTATATGTGGTATTTAGTTGCTTTTGAAAAAATTAAATTGTGCTCTAAAGATAAATAATGAAATAATAAAGGAATTTAATAAGCTTAATTGTTTTATTTGATTTCCAATTTAAAAATTGTTTAAATTACACCTGGGGTTTTGGGGTTTTGGGGTTTTGGGG